GAATTTACAACTCCTCCCAGCTTTATCTCCTGTAGCAAGGACATGGCTGCTTGCATCCCCAGGTCCTCTGGAAGCTGGAGCTCGGATGCTCCTAAATGCGTAGCCGCGCACTCGGAGCTTAAAATGCAGCCGGTGGTCATTTTTGTCACCAGTGAGATCCCATAGCCCGGAGATCTGTGCCATGACAAAGGACGCAAGATGAAAAAAGTTTACTTTGCAGCACAAAATCATGGAACTTACTTCCCAGACTCCGAACCAGTGTAGTGATCAGTAAAGATGTACACGTCGGGGAGCAAGCGATTTAGCATGCCACATTTGATTGGCCATATGAGGTGAGATGCGTGTGGAGTAACTCACTCCTCAGATACGTTTCACCATGCCCTCATCCACCCATGTAGCAGCTTGGTGAAGGATTCTTAGCGAGGAGAGAAAGAAAAGAAGAGGAGTTTGGAGAAACTGACCGTGAGGCTCTTGGGAACAATGGGAACTTTGAGGACGACTTCACTGCCACCCAAGGGCGGAGCTCCGCAGGCAACAACCTTGAGTTCTAGGAATTCGATTGGAACACCAAAGTGCTTAAGCATTGGCAGTGTTGCTGTGCGAAAGGTGTCGACGCAGGGATCCCTACTGTCATTTGCAATGCCTGTCACAGGCCACAAAGAGTCCTAGTTAACAACTGGCGCCTCGCAAGCTGCCACACGCGGCATACATGTCAATCAGCGCAGTAGACATGATCAAGCTCGAATCCCAGCCCACAGCAACCATTTGGGAGTGGATTTGCTTACCCACCGGAAGAAATCGCGATCCACAACACGCTCCAAGGGCCGCAACGGACTTGATCCTGCCTGGAGTGACGCCCTGGAGCAGCAATCTCCGGTCAACACTTTGCATGTGCCACGTGTTGCTGGGCCTTCCTCTCCTGCCCCATGCGGCTTGGCCGCCTCCCATTGGCCGGGAGCAAACATCAGCACGATTATTCGCTAACACGTGGTTAAAGAAATAACCCCTTTACAGTTACCCTCCATCGGACGGCTGTGATTGGCCAGATCCGGCGGCCCACAAAGTTCGGCGTTTGCTCCTTATAGTAGTAGATTTATTTCTTCTGAATTTTATAACAATAAACGTTTCTAGAATGTTAATTTTTATATTTGCTATATCATTGATATTTTTTAATGATATCTTACACATCATTTTAATATCTTTCTGAACTAAAGTTTTTCATTTTATTTTAAATATTAATTAATCTTAAAGTTAAAAATTAATTTTATTTTAATATTCTTGTAAAAAAACACTAAATATTGAATGAACGCATTTACATTTAATTTTCTCTTTTGCATATAGGATGTTAAGGCCCTTTTACACTTGGTAACTATGATACAGATCTGGAAGCGCCTTCACGCGATATAATTTTTATTTTTGTTGGCTGTGTTGCAAATTTTAAAGCGCTTTTATGCAATATAGTCTTTGCTTTTGTTGACTATATTGCAGATTCCGAGCAAAGTGCCGCATCGATGACGATTTTTATTTGGGATTTATTGCATTCTAAGTTATTAACGCTCCTTAAAAACAAATATAAAAAATCAAACATGAACTAATTTGTTAATTTAGATTTAATTCTTATTTTAACCTTTAATTAGTAACAAAGTTTTAATAAAATTTTATGTTTTAACTAAATAATTTTTTTTAGCATTTCTTATTCTCTTAGTGTTTGCTTGGAAGAACCAATTTACTAAAAGAGCAAAAAGTTCTTAACTGATCAATGGTAGTTAAAGAATGCTTCTATTGAAACCACATGAAAAATCTCAAGTTTGAACGGTCAATTCTTTGAAAGAACCCTAACTTTTGTTTAATGGAATGCGCAGCGTGAGGGATTCAATCCACGCCTTCGACCGGATCCAGAGCGAGGGCTCCTCCCCGACGAAATCCATCATCGCGGCAGCGCTCAAGGCGTGCGGCCGCGTCGGGGATTTCCAGTCCGGTAAGCGAATCCACGATTACATCATCAAGAATCGCCGGGCATCCCCGGGCTTCCATGGCGACGATGGCATCGACGCCGACATTGCGAGCGCCCTGGTCACTATGTATGCGAAATGCCGCAGCATCGACGAGGCTCGCGAGGTTTTCGATGCCATGGAAGATCGCTCTGTGGTGTCTTGGAGTGCGATGATCCTGGGCTACGCCGAGAATGGGAAAGGGGATTTGGCACTAGGACTCTTCCAGAGAATGAAGCAAGACAGCGACGATTCCATCGCTCCAAATCGCGTCACTTACTTGGCGGCTCTCAAGGCTTGTGCCGCGACTTGCGAGAACTCTCGAGAACAGGCACTCGAAACCGCTCGAGCTCTTCACTTGGAGATTTGCCAGAACGGATTGGAATCGGACTTGTTCGTGGCCAGCACGCTGGTGGATCTGTACTGGAAGTGTGGGAGCTCGGTGGATGCCCGGGATTTGTTTGGAAGAATGGAAGAACGCAACGTCGTCTCGTGGAGTGCGATGATCTTGGGATTTGCCGAGGCTGGCGATGCAAAGTTGGCGCTAGAAACTTTCCGGAGGATGCCTTGCGCTCCAAACCGAGTGACTTACCTCGCAGTGATAAAAGCTTGCGCGGCTCTAGCGGTGGTCGAAGAAGGCGAGCTTGTGGATGGAAAGGTGGTGAAGCTCAAGAGCTTGGAGATCGGGCGAGCTTTGCACTGTCAGATTCGAGGCTCTGGATTCGAGCTCCATGCTTCGATCGCGAGCTCTCTCGTGGATATGTACTGCAAGTGCGGAAGCCTGGGAGAGGCTTGGAGCATTTTCCAGAGGATGAAGAGGTCTTTCCGAGACGTGGTTTCGTGGTCGGCGATGATACTGGGCTATGCACAAGGTGGACAGGCAGAGATGGCGCTAGAGCTCTTTGAGAAAATGGAGGGTGATGGCTGCGCTCCGAATCCAGCAACTTTTGTGGCCATGCTCAAGGCTTGCGCAAGCCAAGGTTTTTCCGGAGCTGGGAGGAGAATTCATGCCAAGATATGCACTGCTGGAGTAGAAGGCCAGCCGGGAGTCGCAACTTCTCTGGTGGATTTCTACGGGAAGTCTGGAAGTATGAATCGAGCGCGGCAAGTTTTCGAGTCCATGGCAAGCATCGACTTGGTAACTTGGAACGCGCTGCTAGCAGGCTATAGCCATCAGGGAGAGATCACAGAAGTGCTGGAAGCATTCGAAGCTCTGTGTCGGACGAGTTTAGCTCCGGACTCGGTCACCTATCTTACGGTTCTCACAGCGTGTGCACACGCCGGACATGTGGAGAACGGGAAGGAGGTGTTTAGAGCTATGACGCAGCGCAGTATCACTCCAGGGATCGAGCACTATAGCTGCTTGGTGGACCTCCTAGGCCGAGCTAACCTTCTCGACGAAGCAGTGGCAGTACTGAGGGGGATGTCCGGTGCCTCGCCCACACCAAGCTTGTGGATGAGTGTTCTCGGCGCCTGTCACAAGTGGAAAAACGTCGACGTTGGTCGGGCCGCATACGGAAGCATACTGGAGCTCGATCCTTGCAACTCAGCTGCGTACGTGCTCATGGCCAACATTCTCCAACACTCGAGCGAATGGGACTTGAAGAATTCCCCAAAACTTCGACTTTGACAGGCCTACTCCAATTCGAGACCCACAGAGAAGAGTAGGATGGACGATTGATGAGGACATCGCACTGGAACGCTACAGCGAAATCGTTTTCAAGGTATGGAACGAATATGTGGCCCTTGCTAACTTTCTCGTCTATTTGGCATAGCAGGACAAGGCAAGAATCACCGCTTTCTAGACAAAGAAGATATCTAAAGTCTTCCATGCAGCACAGAAAGGTTCGTTCGCTTTGGACGGCTTCGTCTAATATGGAACGAATGCGTAGCTTTGGCATGGCAGGACGAGGCAAGCATAACCTCCGAAGAACATAGAAAAGGTATCGCTCGCTTTGGACAGCGTCGGCTATGGACTCCTGGAGCGATCTAACATTTTCTTCTTTGGATTCATTCCAGAGCTGGCCAGCAGACAACAGTGTAAAAGCCTTGAATGATTCTTTTGTGTTTGTATTTATTTGTTTCTTGTGTCCATAGCTAGGCAAAAGGCAGCCAATGGATGGAGCCAACAATCAAGCAGTCGATTTTGTCTCGCGAAACCAAGCAGCGGGAACTTAAATTATTCTGGTATATGGTTTTTATTTCCTTGTTTTCTATCCAAATTCCTTCTCCATGGACGACTTTGAAGACCCTAGTATGATGTTGCGAGTCGGGCGAGGCGTCCATTTCAGTCCTCACAAGCGATTTGCAATCTCGTGCTGCGTAAAGCGTGTGGCGAAGATGGAACCCATCAAGGTGGAGGAGAGATCAATTTATTTGTGAGCTAAAAACTTTGGACGATAGCGATTGTTTTGGAATGATCAAGCGTCTAACAAGGTTGCGGAGGAAAAGATTAAGCTCTAAAATTCCTTAAGTGTTTGGCGTGGTTGAGATATGAAGTGTATAATATCAAGGTGGTGGCCAAGATCATCTTTCCACGTTCGAATGCATATACCTTTTCTTTTTGGCGGGAATGGTTAAGCTATCGCATTTTCCCAAAACGTGATGGCCTTTAAGAATTTAAAATGCCCATCAAAGCGCTGCTATCTACCTGTAAAAAATTTTAAAGCCTTCGCCTCGCCCCCAAAGAGGAAGGGAATGTTGTTTGGGGTACAAGCCCCCCACAGACACCTAGCAGTCAGCGACCGGTATCTTTGCGGGGAATCTCGGTGCGACTGGTCCACAAAAACGTACCGTATGGTGTGCCACCGACAACTGCCAGTCGCGGCCCACAACAATTGGCGCGGATGTGCCAAGGCCGGCGGCGGCCCCGCCGGCCACCCGACACGAAGACGACCGTCAAGCTAACGACGACGCAGCGAGGGGGATATTCGCCGGATTAGGGCTGCTGGGAATATTCGGCGGCCCGTTGGGGATGGACGGAATGTTTCGTGGATATTCTGTGGGGGTCCGTTTAGAAAACGGGGCAGGCTGGGTTTTTGTGGAGTGATTGTGCCACTGGAGAATCACGCGCTCGTCTTCTCGCGCCTATCGATCTTCCCTCCTCGATCTCCCGTGCGCGCTGCCAGTTCTTCGGTGCCGGCACGGCAAGCGGTTGAGCGCGCTGTCCGGCGGTCACGAGATCTCTCGCCCAGGTTTTTCAGCAGGGATCGAGGTGCATTGTGGCGAGGGAATCGGCGCCGCGATGGAGAGGTGAGCTCTGGCGAGGATATTCCGCTGCGGTTCTAGCTAGGGAATCCATGGCTCCTTGCTTGCCCTTGAGAGATCTGTGTGTGGCTTCCTGGGGTCGTGGTCCTTGGCGCTCGGCAATGTGGCGCTCCGCGGCAATGCCGCCGAGATTCTTTCATTCTTTTCTTGCATGAGCGTCAAGGGGCTTCCATGAAATTTGCATTGGGATGCGTTGTGCATGCTACATTGCATCCTGATCTTGAAGCGATGGGCTTTTCCTGGATTGTCTGCCAGCGGCGGTGGGGTTCTTGGGTTATCGAGGGTGTAGTCGGGGATTCCACGGTTCTTTTCCTCTTTAACAGTGGCTCTTGTGGATTGCAGGGAATGATCAGGGCAATCGCGAGTTCGAGACTTGGGTGATCGGAAAACCGGCAGCGTCATGGAGGGATCAGGCACAGGTGATGAACCTAAGGAAGTGGTGGACGCTCCAAGGAGCAGCAATGTGGACGACATGGACTTGGAGGAGGAGAATGGTGACGAGGAGTTCCAGGGATCAGGAGAAGCTATCGAAGTTTCGGGCGGTCAGGAGAACAGTAATGGAGTTCACGATGGTATGGGGGTTTCGGAGGAATCAAACCTTGCAAAGGATAACGCTTGCCATGTGAAGCCTGTGAAGGTTGGTACGACCCACTTGATAGTTTATTGTTTTGGAGACAGAGGAGGAAACAGATGGTTTTTTGTTTGCATTTGCAGGAGAGAAGATCTGAAAATGCCAAGAATCCGAAGGGCACAGCCCCGGCAAAGAAGTCTTCGTCGAGCTTTAAGACTTCGGTGGCTGCTGCTAATGCGACGACGGCAAGGCCCAAAAGCAATCCTGTGGCTCCTTCAAAAGCTAGAAAGGAGTCGGCTGCTGACCCAGCTCCAAAGAGCTCTCGAACGACGGCGTCGGTTACAGTTCCGCAACCATTTGCTCTGGCAACTGATAAAAGAGCTTCACTCGGTGGCAGCAGACTGTTGCCAACTTCTACTGAAGCTCCTGCTAAACAACCTGCTAAGCCAACTCCCGTAATACCGTCCCAGCCAATCCGAAAGTCTCAGGTATTAAGCTGCGTGTTGCTTCTTTGCTCAGTTTAAGTTGCAGGTTCTTAGCAAGGTGACCACAAAACCTTCGTCTGTAAGACCATTAAGTGTGGAAGCCTTAAAGTACAGTTTTCTAGTTACGTTTTTTCCTATCTTTTCTAACGGGAACTTATGGCTGCAGGCCCCCTCAGAAAGAGGAAGTGAGTGATGCAAACAGCGAAGTTGGATCTTGCACATCGTAAGCCTTATGTCTTTCTGCTTTGTGTTGAGTGTTTGCATCAATCTGCAGGCCTGGATTTGGCATAAAAGACAGGAAAAATGCCGCTGCCTCCACTTTCAGCTTCAAATGTGATGAACGTGCAGAAAAGCGAAAAGAGGTACGTGATGTTACAAGTCTTCCAATCCTTATGTAGTTTTGTGCCTGCAGTTCTATTCAAAGCTGGAGGAAAAGCTAAACGCCAAAGAAGCGGAGAAGTGTCAGATTCAAGCCAAAACACAGGTGCGTGGAAAAGCCTTTCTTTTCCTTCTGCGTTCTAACAATCGATCATTAGGAGGAGATGGAAGCTGAAATCAAACAGCTTCGCAAGAGCCTCACTTTCAAGGCAACTCCAATGCCGAGCTTTTACCAGGAGGCTCCTCCTCCTAAGGCTGAGCTGAGAAAGGTTGGAATGGCTGATAGTTGGTGCGCTTACCAACTTTTTTTAAAACGGATGCAGATCCCAACGACGCGCGCAAGATCTCCAAAGCTGGGCAGGCGAAAGAGTATCAGCGGTGCGGAGTCCGAGAACGGCAAGCACACCGACAACGAAGACGCCAAGAAGCTAGACAACGGGCAACAAGTCAAGGAGAACGTAGTCCCGTCGAAGAAGGCGATCAGGAAGTCGTTCTCGGGGAAGATCTCTAGTGAGAAGGTGAAGGGCAAGGAGAAGCCAGCCAACGAGGTCCTCGGCAATGGGACAGTTGAAGGCGTCGGGGTGCTGGAGGAAACCAAGGGAAACGGGGTGGTAGAGAGGAACGCATCGGCAGGGACCGAATCCGGGGGGGACGCAGATAGTGATACGGGAAAGGACTTCGGTCTGGAAAGCGCTCCGGAGACAGCTGACGCTCCTACAGACGCCGATCACCAGGATAGTGTTGTTAATGCGACTTTAGATAGTGTAGTGGAGCCTGCTACCGCGGCGGCACAGGAGAAGAGCGATGGTGAGGCACCGAAGTCCAAGGCTGCGATTGAGAAGCCGGGATCCAAGAACTCGAGGAGGGAGGCGCGTGGCAAAGGCAGTGGGAGCTTCAAAACTAGGACAGGATCCGGGAAGCTCGTCGGGAAGGAGATGCTGACACCAGCGGACGTTGCCGTGATCTCGTGACCGAAAGATGGAATGGAAGTTTGTGGAGTATCTATCGATTCCTGGTAAGCCGTCAGTTTTCCATTGGCTCGTTTAGCTTACCAGGTGGTTTTGAAATGTTTCCAGCAGCTACTAGTTCTACTTTGATCTATCCGAAAGACGATTAGACAAGAGCTCGGAGTTTCCATGGTGCGTCGTGTTTTTCTTTCTAAATTTTTCTTTCTTTCAGGTATGGAGTCGGGGAAATAACTCCAAAAAAAGATTTGCAAATGTGGGTGGTGTTTGTAGTAGTGATTTTGGTTCTAGTTCTTTTGGTAAATCCTCTCTTAGCTAATGGCGCGAAGTTATTTTAAACTTTTATCAGTCCTTTTGGTTTAGAAAGGGTGTAAGGCATATACCATAAATATCCAGGTTTATGCTAGATTATACCTTAATTTATTTAGTGTTTTAATGTTAATTTTTCTTATCTTTAATATAAACTTTAAATTGAAATCCTTCAAAGAAAAAAAAGGAAATGTGCATTTACCACCACTTGCTTTGCTTGTAATACAAAACTCTAATTTAGTGGGACATCTTTTTTTAGCATATCCCCTCATCCACACTGGTTTTTTTTGGATTATAAAACATTTAGAGCCATGGTACAATTACAGCTGCCACTTGTGGCAATCATTGAAGGACCCGCTTAAAGAACTCAAGCTTCTGGGTTTCTCTGATTCTTGGATACATTGGACTGCAAAGCTTTTCAGCTGAAGCTACCATGGGCAATGTCAATTAGGCTACATTGTAAAATATTCATCTACAAAACCACCTTTTAAGACAGGGTCAGGGTTTCCAGAACAGTCTAAAGTTAAACCATAAAGCCTCTCAACCTTTTAAGAACATATTCTTTGAAAACATTATTTGTGGATATGGACTACAAACCCTTTGTATAAGTCAGTGACTTGACTAATGTGGCAAATTATCAGACCCTAGCCAGTATATTTGCAAAACAAATGGCTCTCGAATTGGTAAAAAGTCATCATCTTAATGCAAATGGCTTAACAGGCTTTTGCCACCTTTATTCTTGTGTAGACCAACTTCTCACTCTCTAAGTGTCACTATAGTCTATACAGTTCAGACACATTGGCTATGTCGATTTTGTCAAAGCTTTTGATCAGGTGCTATGACAGTTGTTCATTCAAACCCCAATGCTCTTATGGCTGGACGAGAACTTTAGATTATTTTTGGAGGGTCAGCTGGAGGCATGAGACCACTGAGACATTGTACTTGCCTGCCTACCCATTTGCTCTTTAGCACTCCTTGAACTGGTACTGCTGTAGCTTCCAAGAGTGGCCCTCTAGTCTCGCAAGAGATACCTTGCAAGTTCAGTGACAATGTCAATGTTGGAGAGGCCCTATCTCGCCAGGGAATGGTTGGAAGATGCTGGCGGAGGTGGTCATATGCCCCACAGTTGTATAGGACGTGGAAAACATCCTCAACCGTCGTCCCAAAACGATCACGGGAGTGCCTCTTAGTGACTATCTTTTGTTCGCCACCCTGATGATCTCATAGCCAGATAATGACTCTCGTTTTGTTTAGCAAGTTGGCAGGCCTGGTCAATATCTTGAAAGCAAGTTATAGGCACTTTATTGATTGCCAAGAGCATATCATTTTGCGCCAGTGCAGACTTGGACGACTTGGAGTCTGCAAAACAGCGCCTCATTTGCAAGACTTGGCGTCTTGATGGATTCTTTTCAGCAAGAGCCTGCGATTAGCACGTCATTAGGGAGATGGAAATACAAGAGCAAAAGTATATGAAGACATCTGTCACTCAAACAAAAATTCCTTGCCTCGGACAACAAAGTCGGGTAAAGGCTCAGCATCGAGAATGCGAATGGAAGGCAGATGTCTCTCAATTCCCTTGTGTCCTCCGACAATTCCATCTCATATCTCACAAATGTATGAAGTTAGTATTCCTTTCGCAAACTCTTGTTCTTGGAAGTCCCAGTACTTTACATGGTTCAAACCACAGAGATTACTTGAAACGCTGTTTTATAATAAATGTACTTACTTGAGTGAAGAATGTGGCCCAGAAAGTTTTAACTCTCCCTTTACCATCGGCAAGAACTCCCAAAATTTTATCAAGGCCTGATAGAATTTCAGCATATAAGGAAAATCGTAAATCAATGAGACAGAGGTTATACCATTGTCAATCTCAATAACTTCCATGCTCATCAGTAGCAAAGCAGCAGGGTTGATTACGATTGACTTACGAGATATGGTCCACATGCTCCTGCTCAGGCCAACAAGATGAACCTCATCGCCTCTATTTAATGCTTCTGTGGACTACTCCACAGAATACAAACCTGGGAGTATGTAAAGAAGCTCACCTTCATTTTTCACAAATATACATCATAGCTTTTCCGTAAACATTGCAGGTTCATATTCGGTCTGGGGCGCCGCGAGACCATGTAAACAAAATATGAATGACTGAATGAATATTGCGCAGTCTGCACGAGTTGATGGCGAGCATGACCATCACTTTGTTGGTACGGGGATCGTTATACGTCATGAGGTCCTTGGACTTGGACCTCGTAGCCGTGGACAGAAACACCGTCAGGATTGCAGTTGCTGATATAATTCTCTACAACTCCAGTGGAGATTCCTTACTACTGAATCTTACCCACCTAAATCAACAAATAGATTACCTTTCGTATAACCCAACTGCTTTAGGCGTCTAGCTTAGTTCTAGAAAAACAGTTGCATCGCCACCCATTGAAACAGCAGGACCAGCTACTTTACTTGCAGCTCCCGATTCATCACGCAAGCTTGAAATTTCAGGTTTCTGAGGTAGCGCTGGACGAGGATTCCAGAGGCCGGTAGAATTCTCACGAGTATAGATTTGAGGGGGTGCATACCCTTCGTGCCTTTCAATTGTTACCAGCACGGACTGGTCAAGAGAAAAAATTACACCTTCGGAAGCATTTGCTGTGTGGATCTGTGTCGAATAAGGTCTTCCGCTCTCCGGCCAGCTTTTTTATTATGCCAAACCTTGGAACCCCTGCTCGGGATAGCACGTAGCTTCCAAAATAAAAGATAAGTATTAATTGATGGTACTATTGATGTAACTATGTTTACCTAGGCTCCACAACATAAACAAGCCCGCCCTGTTTCTCCACAACGATGTAGTTTATATTGCAGGGATAAGACAGAGGATGAATAATGGCGTGATTGAGTGCAAGTCTTGCACCTGTTTCCATCTTTCCAGCTTTAATACTTTTTATACGTAGTATATATAAAAATACCTTAAATGTGACATGGACATGTTTTCCACTTCTCTCTAGCTCGAGCTCCAGATCTTTCAACATTGTCGTCGAGATACATCTCAACTTGTAAGAATTGTGTTACTACCTGCGTTCACAAAAAACTGGCTAAATTTCTATGATTTCAGCACGACCCTTACTTGTTTGTTCACTCAAACAAGCACATTTCCTGGTTCTAGATGCGTATGCGAAAGACCACCTGGCACCTGGCCTTGTATTTCATACGTTATATACAATCTTATAGAGCTTCTACGACTAGCATGCCTGTTTCAGTCAGAGGAGAAGCAGATCTAACAACCTTTAACGACATGGCGATTGGTGCGAATTATTGTCCACCAAATGCCGTTGCAGTGTGGATATCCGGCTTATCAAATGCCCTGCAAGCACTACAATTGAGAACGACGACTCCCCGGGTGACTCGATCAAGCATCTCCTTTGCTCCTCTCCAGGGGCAAAGCATCATCTGAATGGAGCGCCATGAAAGAAGAGCTGACGAGAGGTGTCAACTAGAATGCCGAAAGATCGAGCACATTCAACAGCCGACCTGGTACCTTCAGTTATATTGCCCGGGATGGACTGCCTTGTATTACAGGGTCAAGTTGAACGAAAATAAGACCTTTATTCCTATTTCCAATTGATCAATAATTATAAAGATGTTTATACAATATTAGTATGCTAGAATATATTAAGAAGTGTTTAGGAAAGTTTAGAAATTATAAGCATTTTTAAAATCATGAATATAAAATTAATCAAAATGAATAACAACAGTAAAATATCCCAAAATATTCAAATATATTTTAGGTATAAATACCTACAAACAGTTATAATTTATAAACTGTATATACTGTATATACGTATTTAATCAATTTTAAATTCATTTGTACGAATGGCATATGCTACGGAATTTTTTGATCGAACATAGACTCGATCCGACGGCTCAGATTCATATAGGTTAATAATTTAACGTGGCTATGGTGTTGGCTTCTCCTCGCAAGATTTTGGCAAAGCTCGGCGTCTTAGGGTTTGTGGCGAATGTGGTGATCCCTGGCGCTTGATCGCGGCGCCTTTTCTCCTCTCTGGTGGCATGGAGCTCGATGGCTTGCCTGTGGAAGGCGCTGGCAGCAGCGGAGCCACTGCCGAGGATTGGCAGAAATCTCTCGCTCGCGTCGTCCGTGGCGTCGTGGTGCTCAGGACGACCGCTTGCAGGGCATTCGATACGGAGACCGCGAGCTCCGGCTATGCGACGGGATTCGTGGTGGACAAGGCCCGGAGCATAATTCTCACCAATCGCCATGTCGTGAAGCCTGGTAATCTCCAATTTTCAATGTAGGGAGCTTGTTTGAGGGATTCCGGCCATAGGTCCCGTGGTTGCGGAGGCGATCTTTCTCAACAGGGAAGAGATTCCGGTGTATCCTTTGTATCGCGATCCTGTAAGTTGGTTCCTCTCTTTTGGAAAGCGTGGTTTACGTTGTCTTTGGATTGGATCCAGGTACACGACTTTGGGTTCTTTCGATTCGATCCGAAGAGCGTCGAGTTTATGAACTACGAGGAGATTCCTCTCGCTCCCGAGGCCGCGGCTGTGGGTCTAGAAATTCGTGTTGTGGGGAATGATAGCGGAGAAAAGGTACTTTCGCGAAAACAAAACAAATACTAGAAACCTTAGCTTGGTACTAACTGGCATTTTCTTTCTTTCAGCTCTCCATACTTGCGGGTACCATTGCCAGGCTTGATCGAGATGCTCCACCGTATAAAAAGTAAGACTCTTCAGTCTGAGAACTTTGTTGTTCTTAATTCTATGTTTAAAGGGATGGATACAACGATTTCAACACATTCTATATGCAGGTAATTGGTGATCGACAATCAACTGACTGAGGTTTTTATAACGTGAATTTTGCCAGGCAGCGTCAGGAACTAAAGGAGGATCTAGTGGATCTCCTGTTGTAGATTGCAAAGGAAGGGCCGTCGCTATAAATGCTGGTAGCAAAGTTGCAGGGGCTTCGGCGTATTTTCTTCCTCTGGATCGTGTAAGACTAAACGAGTTTCTGTTTCCTGATTAAGTCTTACTGTCTACATTCCGTCAGGTTGTAAGAGCACTCCGTATTCTTCAAGAAAGCAAAGATGGATTTGGTGATGGATGGCAACCAGTAGATATACCTCGGGGGACTTTGCAGGTGAATGACTTCATTGAGAAAAGGCCACATGATTAACTATGTGTTTTTCTCTTAAGATGACATTGCTGCACAAAGGATTTGATGAAACCAGACGTCTGGGCTTGCGGCATGACACTGAGCAAGTAAGTTTTTCTTCTTTGTTTGATCTTGATTAACAAGTTCGCTTCACCTTAGACTGTTCGATCTGCTTCTCCTCCGAGTGAAACCGGCATGCTCGTCGTAGATTCTGTGGTAAGTTCTTAAACATACCATGTAAGGATATCGTCCGACGTTTTTGAGATCAGGTGCCTGGTGGTCCTTCTCATAAGCACCTGGAGCCTGGAGATGTGCTTGTTCGCGTGAACAAAGAAGTAAGGTTTTTGTGAAGTAATGAAAACTCGCTAACACTTGGAATGGGACAGGTAGTAACACAGTTTTTAAGACTTGAAATACTCCTTGACGACAACGTTGACAAAGACGTGGAGCTCGAACTCGAGAGAGGTGGAAAAGATGTTCAAGTCACGTTGAAGGTATGTGTAAATATTCCTTTAACTGTCAAATGCTGAAGTTGAAAGCAGGTGCAAGACTTGCATTCAATCACGCCTAATTACTTTTTAGAAATGAGTGGAGCCATCATCCATCCTCTGTCTTATCAGCAGGTTCGTTGGCTTGTTGAACTGTTGTGTTAATAATGCACGTGGACTTACAGGCTCGGAATTTTCGCTTTAACTGTGGACTTGTATATGTCGCAGATCCGGGGTAAGCACGATCATGTGAGAGTTGTATCGCTGAGCTTTTTTCTCTTGAAGGTACATGCTGTCGCGAGCAGGGGTTCCAAAGTTTGGGATAATCAAAAAGCTTGCTGGAGAAAGCATTTCAACCCTGGAAGATCTTATTGTCGGTTTTGGTAAACTTGCCCCTGGTGCGCGTGTCCCACTAGAATTCTATGTGTACAGCGATCGGCATAGAGGCAAGGTGAGCATTTTACATATATTTGACGTCCTGCTCGTCTTAAAGGATTTTGTTTTCTCTAGTCTGTGCTGGTGACCATTGAAAGGCACGAATGGTATGCACCTCCGCAAATCTATGTTCGTGATGATTCTACTGGACTTTGGAATCCTCGTCCGGCCATATCCAGTAAACCTGTTTCAACTTTTCATAGTGACGAGAAGCAGGGACCATGCAAGATGTCAGGTGCTTTACAAGACGGTTCTGCTATCGAATGTAGAGGAGGAGTTGCGGTTTCAATGAGCGCCGAAGATGGCTTGCAAAGTGACGAAGGCAACCAGCTGAGCGACGGGTCTTTGAACCAAGGAGAAACTAAGAGAAGACGAGTGAACGAGCTTCTAGCTGTTCCGGAAGATAATCAGCCTGACATTCTTGCGGAAGTTGTTGATTCTCAAACTCCAGAAGTAACAGGTGGTGCTTCAGGTGTTGAGCAGGTTTTAGAGCCGACTCTCGTTATGATGGAGGTAAGAAAGCGGATTTTCGTTTTGGCGTTGTTGAGATGCTTTTAGTGATGCAGGTTCATATTCCACCGTCTTCACTACTGGATGGCGTGCATGCCCAGCACTTCTTTGGTACGGGGATCATTATACATCACTCCTCCGACTTGGGCCTTATAGCCGTGGACAGAAACACTGTCGCAATTTCAGTTGCCGATATAATGCTTTCTTTTGCCGCAATTCCAATCGAGATTCCTGCTGAGGTAATCTTGAAATAGCTTTCAATCTGCTGACTCCGCTACTTAGGTGGTGTTCTTACATCCAATACACGACTTTGCGGTTGTTGCTTATAATCCGTCGGCTCTAGGAGAAGCTGGAGCAGCCGCCGTCCGAGCTGCTGTCTTACACCCGGGTTTGTAGCTTTCTTTTGCCGTTACCTAAGCATCTTAGACGCGTTTATCTGCAGAACCACTGAAAAGAGGTGATGCCGTTCACCTAGTTGGTCTGAGCAGGAGCATGCAGGCTACGTCACGCAAGTCAGTAGTGACCAACCCTGCCGCTTCGCTGAATGTGGGGGCAGCAGATTGTCCACGATATCGAGCAATGAACATGGAAGTTGTTGAGATTGATACTGGTATGTTGTAGTCTTCACAATCTTCTCACGTTGAGTTTGATCCCTCAGATTTTGGCCATACGTTTTCGGGAGTTCTTGCCGACGACGAAGGGAGAGTACAAGCTCTTTGGGCTAGCTTCTCAACTCAAGTAAGAACAAAGGCTTTATGGCTCATGTTTATAATCCATCAATAAGCAGGTTAAATACGGCGATAGCTCTCCGGAAGATCACCAGTTCGTTCGAGGCATTCCAATATCGTACATCAGTGAAATACGCGACGGGATTGTCGATGGACACAGAGGACCACCTTTACATATCAACGGCATTGAGAGACGTATGCCCCTGGTTCGCGTTCTGGAAGTTGAGCTCTATCCGACGTTGTTGTCAAAAGCAAGGAGCTTTGGTCTTAGCGATAAATGGGTTCAGGTAAGCGAACACTTCTTTTCAGTGTTGTGTTTACTGACACAACAATTGCAGGCTCTAGCTAAAAAAGATCCAATAAGACGTCAAGTGTTGCGGGTGAAAGGCTGTTTAGCGGGCTCTAAGGCGGAGTCTGCACTCGAGCAAAGCGATATGTTACTGGCAATCAACAACATGCCTATAACTTGCTTTCAAGACGTTGAGCAAGCCTGCCAACGTGCTGAAGAGGGCGAAACTGACGAACTACACATGACCGTCTTTCGACAGGTAACGCAAAAACCTCTGCTACTTTTGTCGTAAATCTCTCGCTACCATCAGGGTGTCGAAGTAGAGATTGTGATTGGAACGGACGTCCGCGATGGTTTTGGCACGATGCAAATGGTGAACTGGGCAGGCTGCGTCGTCCAAGATCCTCATCCGGCTGTAAGAGCACTGGGCTTTCTCCCGGAAGAGGGCCATGGAGTTTACGTTGCCAGGTAACTCGGCAAAACTCTTTCATTTTTAGCAGTGCCTCATTTGGTTGATATTCGTGATTGTCAGGTGGTGCCATGGAAGTCCCGCTCACAGATATGGCCTTTATGCTCTTCAATGGATCGTGGAAGTGAATGGGAACAAGACACCGGACTTGCAAACGTTTATCGAAGTTGTCAAGGTTTGGCTTTTGGGTTTAGTGCGATAGTAGCGATCTTGATATTGTTTTTTTTTTGTAGGAACTCAACCATGGAGACTTTGTGCGCGTCAAAGTGGTCCATTTGAACGGCAAGCCACGGGTTTTGACGCTCAAGCAGGATTTGCACTACTGGCCAACATGGGAATTGGCGTTCGATCCAAAGTCCGCGATATGGAAGCGAAGAACCATCAAAGGCATGCCACAGGAGAACGAAGGTACCATAGCAGCGTAACGTAAATCTTTGCGTAGAGATAGTTTATAGATTGGATATCTCTGGGAGAACTCACTGTGTATATCAAGCATTCTTGAGAGGATCACAGTCTCTATAGTTGGAACTTCCAAGATTGGATGAAATGAAATAAAAGATTTTGGGGGACATGCTCTCTCTTTGGAAACACCGCAAAATTAATGGAGAGAGTTCTTCCATGGTTTCTATTTTATCTAGTTTGGATTTGTGGCTTCTTCCTAGTCAGCATTCTGTCTGGTCAATGCCGTCCACGTGTCGCGCTTGCAGGCCTTGTCTTCCTTGATCGCATCCTATCCGTCCACGCCGTGTCTCTTTGTTGGAGCCGTATATATACACCGCCGCCGCCGTCGTCTTTCGTCCTCCATCTCTCTTTTCTCCTCTTTGCTCGCTCGAAAGCTAGTCTTTGGAAGCTCTTTTTCTTTCTCGGCAAACTTGTTTCATTGCTCTAGATCTCTAGCGCAGCTCCAAAGAGTTTCTCCGAGTCTCTGCAAAGATTTCGCAAGCTTTTGATCGATTGTATCATGTCTCGCCTCGTTTTCTTCTTCTTTGTGCTGTTAGTGGCCGCTGCTATGGCTGCCAGGCCTGTCAAGGACTCCACAGGCAAGCTCTAGCTCTAACTCCATACACTATCTGTTTCTTCGTGTGTGTAAGCTTTGAGATGAGTTTTTAGCTATGGAGAAAGAAGTGCATGGCTTTGCATGAACGCTCGTTGCTTCATGGCTACTTTGTCTTGCAAATCGCTCATGTAGAGATCTCTTTGTTTTGTTTCAGTGGCGAATGACAAGAGTGTCAACGCGGTAGCGTCCGCGAGTGCTGTGGCCGGTGGAAAAACTGAGGTGAGATTCACTTGGGGTGGAGTGAGATACTTGTTTTTAACGCTTGATTTCTTCCGTAGAAGCTCACCGCGTCGCCGCGCGATCATCCGGATCATCAGCAGCAGGACCACGTCGACTACATCTACGATTTCAATCCCTGATGGCGAAAGATCGATCCGCGAAGAAACACAGCCTCCAAAGCCCAGCGGCGGTGGCTACTGTTCTTCCCCTTTGTACAGTTTGATTCCTCCATGTCTTTGGTGTTGTCTGTAACTCTATTGTCAAAGCTCTATACATGAAAGCTCCATTGCAACGAGCACGATTTGATCCTCTCCTCTCCTCTCCTCTCTCCTCGTTTCTTTCTCTCTTTTTTTTTTCTTGGCTTGGCTTGGCCTTTCGGGGATTCGTTCGGTGCTCCCATTTCTCCTCGATGGAAGCGAGACCGCCGCGCTCCCAGAACCCAGGAAATCTGTGCATACATTTAAAGGCATGGATAGGTGATTGCAGCGCAGCGAATTTAATTCGCGAGAGACCCTGGGCGGTGTTCGCGCGGCGTCTTATCTTGATCTGGTTGGTTGCGCGATCCAGAAACCAAGGTGGCATTTTTCTTTTTTACTGTTTTGGGCGACTAAGTTTCGCGCACAATACGTTTCAAAAGATTCTCTCTTCTCTTTTACGCAAATGCTACCAAAGGTCTTCAATGGAGAGAAGCTTTTGCATCCAGCAAATCCAGGACTGCTCCACCATCGCCACCGCGCTGCGAATCCACCAGCGCATCAAACCGCTGCTCGGACACGATGCATTCCTCCACGACAAGCTCATCGAGATGTACGCGAGGCTGGGGAGCCTCGAGCGCGCGAGGGAGGTTCTCGACTCCATGGAAAACCCATCCTCTTTTTCCTACTACCACCTTCTCTCCGGGTACTGCAAGAGCGGCGAGATCAACAGCGCCCAGAAGCTCTTTGATCAAATCCAAGGGAAGAATCTCATACTGTGGACGACTATGCTCGTCGCATACGTGAAGAGTGGCTCTCTCGCACACGCTAAGCGAGTTCTGGACGAAATCCCGCAAAGAGATCTGGTTCTTTGGACATCCATGCTTACTGCATATGCCCAAGAAGGGCATCTAGAGGAGTCAAGGCATATCTTTCTATCGATGCCCGAGCATAATCTAGTAACTTGGAATGCGTTTCTTACGTGCTACTGCATTTTAGATCTTGTTAGCGAAGCTCAAATTCTCGTATTTCAAATGCCCGAGAGAAACATCATCACTTGGAACTTGATGCTATCAGTATATGCCGGAACTGGGGATCTCTCTAATGCCGAGAGAATCTTCTTCCAAATGCCCGAATGGAGCTTGGTATCGTGGACAACTCTTTTCGAATCATACATACGAGCGAAGAAGCTCAGCAAAGCCCGGGAGTTGTTTGAAAAGATGCCTGCCAGGGATATTCTCTCGGTGACTTTAATGATAAAGGCCTATTCCCAGTCTGGGCATCTTGATGAGGCCAAGAATCTCCTCCTTGAGATGCCCTGTTGGGATCTCGTCTGCTGGAATTCACTCTTTGCAGCATATGCTCAATCTGGTCTTGTAAAAAATGTTACCGATCTTTTCCAAAAGATTCCCTGTAAAGACAGAGTCTCCTACTCTTGCTTGCTGGCCGCCTATACAAACAGCTACCTCTTTGAAGAATCCGAGAGAATCTTTCACAGCATGCCGGAGCACGATTCCATCTCATGGACTGCAATGCTCCCAGTATATTCCCACAGTGGGAATCTCCATGCAGCGATGGAGAACATTCTCCAAAACCCAAACCTCCTAGACGTTGTGTTGTGGACAGCATTGCTGGGAGAATATGCTCGAGCCGGGCATCTCGATGTAGCCAAGTGGATATTCCATAAGATGCAATGCCGGAATCTTGTGTCCTGGAATGCGATGATTGTGGCATATGCCCAAGCCGGGCATCTTGTTGATGCTAAGAATCTTTTGGATACCTCCCCCGAGCGCGATACCATGTCGTGGAATGTGCTATTGGCTGGCTACTGCCAAAACGGACGGCTCGATGAGGCCCTCCAGCTCTTCCATTCGATGAAGACCGTCGATTTCCCCGACGAGATCTCCTTCGTCCCGGCGATTCTTGGGAGCCGACTGTATGACGCGCGGTGCCTGTTCGTGTCGATGAGCTTAGATTTCGATCGATCGCCGACGCACCAGCACTTCTCATGCATGATCGATGCTCTCGGGCGCGCCGGGCGCCTGGAATCCGCGAGGGAGCTCGCGGAAACGATGCCATTCGAGGCGCAAGCGGTGAATTGGGTGTGTGTTCTTGGAGCTTGCCGCGATCACGACGATCTGAAAGCTAGCTCTTACGCCGCGCGGCGTGTTCTTGAGCTTGATCCAAAGAATGGCGCTGTCTATGTGCTGCTGGCAAGCACGGCAAGAGATCCGGGAAGGATATTTCACAGTGGGATTGGTAGAAACCTAGCGAGGAGATCGAGAGAAAGCACTGCCGCCTAGCTAGAGGAAACACAAGCACGAACCTTGCCATGGATGACGCATCCCAAGATCGCAATGCCGGCCGCTACGAGCGCTGCCGCCGCCGTGAATCCATAGCTCGTCCATCCGGTGCGCTCCTCGCCCTTGTTCTTGAGTTCTTGATCGAGCTCTTTCTCTGGAAATGGAGAAATCTCGTCCATGCGCGGCACATCGGACTCCTCGGACGAGATTTCCACCATGTGGATGTCCTTGCTGCTGGAGGTCTCGCCCTCGCAAGAACACGGCGAGGAAATCTGTGCTTGATCGTCGCCTTGCTTTGGATCTGGCTCCAGGCTCTTCCGGTGCTCCTCGTAGGCGACGGTGATGCTCTTGAATCCTCCAGAGGTGTTGTCGAGGAGATTATCCCACTGCTGGAGCAAGCCATCCCTCCAGAGAACGCTGGCGGATTTCTCGATGTAGAGCTTCTCGACGAGGACTGGAGGAGGCGAGGAACCCTTGTTCTTGGCGTTGGCGCCGCTGGGATGGATCTTGGACGCCTTCTTTGCGCCGTTCTTGTCAAGCCTGTGGATCGATCCGGCCTGGAGAGACATCCTTCTCTGCCGGCGCCGCTCGATCGATGGATCTTTCTCCTGCTGCTGCGGCGCCAAGGACATGCGCCGCGAGTGGAAAGATTCCCTCGTCTTCGCGGCGGCAAAACGGCCCTCGAAATCGAAATCCGGGCCGCTAACAAACCGATCGCCGCCCTGGGGATCCAAGAGCTCGAGCGGCATTCTTCCCCCTCGCCTCCTGGGCGAAGATTTTCCCGCCGCTGGAGAATTCTCGGCGGCAGCGCACGATCTTGATGATTTCTTGTGCGATGGCGATGGCGATGGTGTGGGCGCCGCGAATCGAGCCATCGCCTGGAGAGAAAGATGGATTCTTGGAGACTGTGGAGCGTTTCTTGGAAGAAAGAAACGATGGAAACTCTTCTTTCGCAACTCAAAAATATTGGGTTAAAACATTTTGGCGCTCATTTTTTTCTTACCTGCCTCGCGACTAAAATTTTTTCCAAAAAGCTCTTTCCAGTCAACAATAGTCAGCAGCTCCGTACAGGCCCATATTGGATTTGCGCATTTTCGCGTACGGCCCCCAGCTCCTTCCTGGAGCAAGCCAGAAAGCGAAGGGGCAACGGCATGGAACCCTAGAACGCGCGGGTGAGGGTTTGCGAGCGCCTGGATGCGATGCCGTTGGTCTTGGCGCTGGATCTGGGATCTCCAGGTACGCGGCGCGCCGATTCGCGAGAGAGCGCGCTCGATTTTGATCCATTTCGCTGGGGAATCGCAGGTGCGCGGGCGCTGTGAGGGTTTCTAGGGTTTGAATTGCAGCAGCAGCGGCCATGAAAAACCTCCTCCGGAAGCTCCACATTGGGAACGATCACTACGATCGCCTGGACGAGGAGCGCACGTCTCCGGACACCACTCCCACCGCCGCCACGGCTTCCACCTCTTCCTCGTCGTCGACGTCGCCGTCGCCGTTTGAGCAGCAGAGGCAGCATTCGGGGTTCTCGGGGTGGCTCCGGAGGAATTCGAGGCCCCCGACGCCGGCAGGGAATGGGAATCCAGGTGAAACAGGCGAAGGAGCTGCTCGAGCGCCGGTGGATTTGGGTGCTGCCAGTAGCATGCTCACAATAGATGAGCTCCAAGTGGAGGAGGAGGAGTATCAAGTCCAGTTAGCGCTGGCTCTCAGTGCTTCGAAGAGTGATAGTATGGATCCAGAGATCGTGGAGATCGAAGCTGCCAAGCGAATAAGTCTGGGATTGAGCCCTTCACCGGATAATCGACAGGCTGAGGTTCTAACTGGAAGATACTGGGTAAGAACTCGTAAAGTTGACAAAGCATGTGGTTTGGTTGATTTTTTTTCCTTCTATCTTTTCTTTTCCAGGCTTACAACGTGCTTAACTATGATGACAAGGTCGTAGACGGCTTTTATGACATATACGGCCTCTTTAGTCCACTCTGCTTCGAAAAGATCCCCTCGCTCGAAGAGCTGCAGGAGACGGAAGTTTCGGAATCGGTGAACTTCGAAGTGATCCTTGTCAACAGAGTCATTGACCTTGAGCTTGGGAAGCTGGAGCAGAGAGCAATGTGTATATCCTCGGACTGCAGCCTTCTGGACAGAAACCCCATCAGGAATGGCTTGGCAAACAGGATTGCAGAGCTGGTTGTGGAGGCCTTGGGTGGGGTCGTGGTTAGCGACATTGACATTCTTACGGCCTGGAAAACCAGGGGCTGGGAGTTGCGGAGCGCTCTGCAGAACGTTGTCTGGCCGTTGGGAATGCTCGGCGTTGGTCTCGCACGGCATCGAGCTCTGCTTTTCAAGGTGACGAAAAGATTTCGGTTCGTGTTTTGTGGTACATGACTTTTCTACAGGTTTTGGCGGATTGTGTGAATCTTCCATGTCGTTTGGTCAAGGGAAACCACTATACTGGGGTCGAAGATGGTGTCTTGAACATCTTAAAGGCTGACGACGGCAGGTTGGTTTTGGAAAATCTTCCTGTTTGTAAATCCTGAAAACTGCTTACAGGGAGTTCATCATTGATCTGATGGGGGCGCCGGGCACTCTTATTCCACTAGATGCAACAATTGCATCATATAGTGGTTCACTAAAGGCAACAACAGCTAACAAAAAAGAAGAAAAGTTGGTCGTGGAATCGAAAAGACAAGAGCCTGGTGGCCGCTCGAAGGAGCCTTTTCCTCGACTAACATTATGTACCGATGCGTCCCAGTCCCAAAGTGGCCATGCAGGAGGAGGAATGGAACAAGAAAACGTAGCCGAAAGTAAGATTGTCGCTGTGGTGGCAACGGGGACTATTGAGGACGACGGGACTGTAAATTCCGGCTTAGCAACTGCAATAGTTGTTACTGAGGTTCTCAGCTGTACAGACACAGGAGCGTGTAAATCTTCGCTTGACAACAACCGTATTCAAAAATCTAGTCCTGCTACTTCGAGGAATGGGTATGATTCTCCGAGAAAGCGGGTCTACAGCCAGGTGCTTTTGGAAGATGCAGCCGAATGGGAAATAAACTGGGAGGACATCAATATCGGGGAGCGTGTTGGTATTGGTATGTTTCTGAGCTAGTTTTTTGTTTTCCAAAGTTTTTTATGTTCGTGTACTTCAGGATCTTATGGCGAAGTGTATCACGGGGAGTGGTCCGGCACAGTAAGTTCTGTTGGTATTGAAAAGACTTATATAAGTCGTACTGATCTTGTACCCTTATTCCCAGGAAGTCGCTGTGAAAAAGTTCCTTGACCAGGATTTTTCTGGAGATGCGATGATGGAGTTCAGAAGTGAAGTAAGTGATCATGCATTTGTGGAGTCGTGAGTGATCTTAATGATTTTACAGGTGCAAATAATGAGGGGACTCAAGCACCCCAATGTTGTTCTCTTCATGGGAGCCGTAGCCCATCCCCCAAACCTTGCCATCGTGACAGAATACCTTCCCAGGTAGGAATTGCAACAAGCTGCTTCGTCTTATAAAATGGTCTGCATGCAGAGGGAGTTTATTTAAGCTGCTTCATCGACCGCACAATCAACTTGACAGAAGAAGGCGTCTACAAATGGCTCTGGATGTGGTAAGTTTTCGATTCGAACTCTATCCACTATTGAGCTTTCTGGGTGTCCAGGCGGAGGGAATGAATTATTTACATAGCTGCAAACCCGTCATAGTTCACCGTGATTTGAAGTCTCCAAATCTTTTGGTAGATAGGAACTGGGTGGTCAAGGTAACTAGAAAAATGCTCCATATATTTGTCTTTACTGGTGAGCTATGACAGGTTTGCGATTTTGGACTGTCTCGCATCAAGCACAGCACATTTTTGTCATCTAAATCAACCGCTGGAACGGTAACGAGTAGCAGTTATTTCTATAGCAAATTATATAACAATCTCCCGTGTTCGATCTTACAGCCCGAGTGGATGGCACCGGAGGTTCTGCGCAACGAACCATCTAACGAAAAGTAATGTTGGTCTTGCCTGGTGTTCTCACTCGACATATTGTTTTGGAACAGATCGGACGTCTTCAGCTTCGGCGTGATACTGTGGGAGCTAGCGACGTCGCAAAAGCCTTGGCACGGGATGAACCCCATGCAAGTGGTCGGGGCCGTGGGTTTCCAGCACCGTCGTCTCCCCATTCCACCAGATGTGGACCCGAGCATTGCGAGCATCATCCAAGAGTGCTGGCAGAAGTAAGCTTTCATTGCTTGATTCATGCTACTCTATAACTTCCTTCTTTCTTGGGCAGTGATCCCAGCCAGAGACCATCGTTCGAGAAGATATTGAACGATTTGCAGGCTCTCCAGAGGCCCGTTCTCCAAGTAAACCAGCCGAGTAGCTTGAAGCCAAACCATCAACTTAAGATGCACTACCAGCAGCAGCTCCACGCAGTGCCGCTCAAAGGAGTGGCATTCAATGTGGAGAGCGTTGGGAGCCACGTTACTCACATCAACGCTCTTGAGTTTGCGGTAAGAGCTCAAGTTCCATAGAAGAACAACGAGAAAGAAGAAGGAAAAAAAAAAAAAACAAACGAAACAAAGACTGATAAAAAAGGGTTGGTCTTTTGCATAAAGAACCAAGGTGCCATAAGCAAGGGAGCGATTTGCAATGGCCACCGATGGTTCTAAAAACAATTATAAGGGTTCTTATAGTTTGATAATCATAAAGACTTTGAAATCGTTGTTTTCCCAATGCCGTGATCTTGTTGTATTTTGATATGGCATATTCCCCCCCCGGTCCCGCCATTTTCGAATGATTCTCCCTCCACTGAAAATTTAACGCTGAAGTGTCAATCCCTGAGACTCTATATAAACCCCAGCCCTCGACACCAGTCTCACACAAAACAAGCTTTGAGTAGCAACAATGAAGAGCGTCGCTCTAGTTCTCGCTGCATTGCTTTGTGCCTCCCAGCTCGCATTCTCTGCTAGAGTTGTCCCAGAGAAGGAGGAGAATGAATCGCTAGACCCACAGGGGGCCGAGCTGGAAGGATA